AGTTTGCCTTTATCAGGTTTTTCCTTCGCATAAACGGTGCCTGCCATGTTTAATGCGAGGATGAGAGTAACGTAAATGTTTCTGATCATCTAAGTTGAATTTTTAAATAGAAAAAGAACGGAATGGTGTTGTACGGTTGCGGGTAAATGCCACAAGGAACCTGCACTATAGCAGCGCTATAATGTGATTATATATTTCATGAAGCAGTTGTGATTAATTGTGGACGTGCTACTCTTAACCGCTACTTGCTACGGAAGCATTCACAAATTTTTATTGGTGTGGTGGGGGATAGCTGATCTGTGGCCGCAGTGTCAACTTATATCCATTGAACAGTTTGTTATTTCGTCAGCAAAAATATTTTTTAATACTTTTCAGACGCTGTAAAAGTATTGTGACAAGGCTATGTGCATCTTAAGACAGTATTACTATTGCCTGAAAGATGGCTAATTATCCGGGGCCTGCCGATTGTTATTTTTTTGTTTCCGTTACCGGGATGTCTATGATGATCCGGACACCTTTCTCTGCGCCTTCAAAGCGAAGGCTGATGCCTAATACCGGTATAAGCTCCCTGATCAGCCTCATACCGATGCCCTGATAGCTTGCGCCCTGGCCTGTTTGATGTGTGGTACTAAAATAGCGGTTTAATAAGATGAGCTCCTCCGAAGGCATACCAATACCATCGTCTGACAAGATGAGCCGTACATGCTCTTCTTCGGTGTAAGCGGTAACACTTATCCTGGTGGCCTGCGCATGTTTCACCGCATTATCTATGAGGTTGTAGCATAGCTGCCGCAACAGCTCATATTGCGTGGTAACGACAAGCTGTTCGGGAATATCGTTTTGAAAATAAACCTGGTGCTTGTGCTGAAAATGACCGAAGAACGAAAACAGGCGTTCCATCATTTGCCGGAGCGCCACTTCATCGCCGGACTGCTGCCCTAATTTGCCTCTTGCCTTTATATACAGGGTGAGGTTGTCTACTGTTGCAAGAATATCCTTCACGCTGATGCCGATCTGGCGGTTCACCTGGTCTGACTTATTACCGGCATCATCTGCCTTACCGGTGAAGCGGGCCGTTACTTCAGCAAGAAATCGTAGTGGCGTACGGATATTATGGGTGATATGGCTGTTCAGCAGATTCTGAAAAAAGAGTTCTTCGGTCAGCTTCCGTTCATTGACTTCAAGCTCTGATACAACACTGTGCAGCTCACGCGTACGCACGTCTACGAGCAAGGACAATTTCTGATTCTGGCGTTTGAGAAAACGCAACCGGAAATGTATTAAAAGGATTACCAGCAGCAGCAGCGCCACAATTACCAAGCCTTTAAAGACGGCGGTTTCAAACCAATATGGTGTTACATAAATGACCAGCTTTTTACTGGAAGCATTACCGGCACCAAACCCATTTTTCTTAAAAACAGTAATGGTATGGTATCCTTTTGAAAGCTCGTTAAATTCCAGCTCTTCCTTCTCAAAATGATTGATGGAATCGTTATCCAGCGAATAGGAAAAGTAAAGGTTATTGCTGTTGCCATAATAGGGCGTTGTAAAGGTGAGCTTCATTCTCTTCTTTCGATCGCTCCAGATAATGGTGTCAGAAACGGCGATGGATATATTGCTGCCGAATGTCACTTTTTGCAGGTAGACCGGGGCATCGGGTAATACCGGTTTTATGCGTGCAGGATTAAAGCACACCACGCCTTTCATGCCGGAGAATGCCATCATGCCATTGGATAGTTTCAGCGCACAGTTTTCACCGCCATTAAATTCATTGGAAGCGAATCCCATCTCCTTGTTGTGGCAGTGGTAATAAATCTCCCGTTGCTCCAGCGCAGCCGCCTCCATATCTTTTTGCGCTACCTGGAACAGTCCGTTGTTCGTGCTGATCCAGTAATAGCCGGCAGCATCGGCCAGTATCGCATGCGCATTATCCAGGTGATGCATTTTATCTCCCGGAAGCGGATATACTTTATCTCCTTTTATCTTAAACAACCCCGCGCCTTCAGTGGTGACCCAGGCGTCGCCGGGCGCACCTTCCGGGCAATAAACGGAACGGATATACTTATCCTTCAACTGCGGAAAACTATGGATGG